ACATACTTAATCCAGAAATTCATAATTCACAACTGCTTAGACTTAACTTCTTTAATAGCAGTGTTATCTCTTCATACCTATATAATTTTCAAGTGTTCCAATTTTAAGAATTTTTATTTTTAAGTGATGTTTCCTTTCTATCCCTCCTCTCCTTCATCCTATCCTTTTCTTTTCTCAATATCATTTCTTTAAACTTACATAATTTTTAGTGTTTTACTTTTTAAATTTAAATTTTTGTTTTTCCATTCTTTCTTGATTTTTTCTATCCCTCTCCTATCATTCTGTCAAAACCATTTTCCTCTTTGAGATTAGTATGTCAACTCCCACTCAGGATAATCAGGTGACAGAACAGTTAATGAATAATCCGGAGGAGAGATCCCAGAAAGCTCTACAAACACTAGTGGTCAACATGGTGAATGAAAAGAATGAAAAGAACTCAGTGTGAGCCTGATCAGGAGCGAGAGGAGAGAAACCATAGATTAATACAGGAATCTTGTGAGTGTGAAGAAGCTACTCAAAGATTAATACTGAATTGCATGAGCAGTCCAAGAATAGCCAAAGAGAGGAGCAGGAATTGCCTGAGCAGGCTGAGAACAGTCAAAGAGAAACAGGAATTTCATAAGCAGGCTGAGAACAGAATTACAGGAATTGAGTGAGCATGAGGAAGCTAATCAAAGAGTAATACAAGAATTGGGAGAGTGGGATGTGAATAGACAAACATCAATGGAGGCATTCATGGAATCCATAAGCAGACAGCTGAAAGTATTCAGGGAAAACACAAAGGTAATGCTGAAGAGAGCCCGACAGATGGAATGGGAGTCCAAGGAAACCATAACAACCATAACAAATTAAATAAGTGATTTGAGAATAAATACTGAACACCAAATTAAAGAAGCAAAGAAGTTCATACAAGATCTAAAACAAAGCTCCAACAAAGAATTTGAAGCCATCAAAGCTGACCAATTAGAAGGAAAAGAAGGAAAAAAGTAGAAAGTCTTGACAGTAAGTTAGGGCATGCAGAATATTGAATCTCGGGGATTGAAGACAGCCTAGAAAGCATAAATAAAGAACATATAACTATCCAAGACAAATCCAAGAAATATGCTAGAAATATTCAACATTTGGAAGACACCATCAGCAGGCAAAATCTGAGGATAATGGGTGTAGAGGAGCACCTAAAGACAGAAGTTAATGGTCTAGGAAATTTACTGAACAGGACCTGAGCAGAGATCTTCCCAAACATGCAAAAAGATAGGCCTATTCAGATACAAGAAGCTTTTAGAACCCCAAATAGATCAGACCAGAACAGGACCACCATCACATTATAATGTGCACAGAATCAACGCAGACCAAAGAAAGGATCCTTAAAGATGTCAAGGAGAAAAGATCAATCACCTTTGAAGAGAAACCAGTTAGAATAATCTCAGATTTCTCAGCAGAGACAATTAAAGAAAGAGAAGCCTGGAATGATGTAGTCATGCCCTAATACAAGCAACTATCAACCAAGAATACTGTACCCAGCTAAAGGTGCCTTCATAACCAAAGGTCAAATAAAAACCTTCCATAGCAAAGAAAAACTGAAACAATATATCTCCACCAAGCCAGCCCTACAAAAGATACTTAAAGATGTCCTACACAAAGAAAACCAACAAGAGCACAATAAAGGCCAAGAACTGCATCCAAACTGAGAATCCAAGAACCATAGGAAGAACCTTGTTGCCGCAGCCCCCAAGAAGGTGGATAACATGGCAGGAAATACCAAACACCTCTCAGCCCTAACTCAACATTAACGGATTTAACTCTCCAGTTAAGGAATATAGACTGTCTAGTTGGATTAAAAAACAAGATCCTTGTATCTGCTGCCTTCAGGAGTCACACCTTCCCCATAAAAACAAATATATTTTGAAAGTGAAAGGCTGGAGCAAAATCTACCAAGAAAATGGTCCCCATAAACAGTCGGGAGTTGCAATCCTTATATCAGATAAAATAGACTTCAAATTAAAATTTGTGAGAAGAGATAAAGAAGGTTGCTACTTTATAATTAAGTGATATTTCCTTCAGGAGGATTTTACAATTCTAAATATCTATTTGCCAAACAACGGAGTACCTAAATTTATCCAAGAAACACTACTTTTCCTCAAATCTCACATAGATCCAAAGGCATAAATTGTTGGGTAGTTTAACACACCACTATCCCTACTAGATAGATCAATTTTGCAAAAACTCAACAGAGAAACCACAGTTCTCAACAAATGCATAGATCAAGTAGTTTTAACAGATATCTACCAAATATTTCACCCAGCCGCATCTGAATACATGTTTTCCTCAGCTGTATGTGGAACATTTTCCAAAATAGACCATATTTTAGATCACAAATCAAACTTGTCCAAATTTAGAAACATTGAAATTATACCTTGCATTCTCTTAGACCACAAGGGAATAAAATTAGAACTCAACACCGAAAGTTACCAAAGAATGTCCTGTAACACATGGAGGCTGTACAAAGCACTGTTGAATCACCAGTGGGTCATGGAAGAGATTAGAAAGGAAATTCAAAGTTTCATGATATTTAACAAAAATGAGCACGTAAATTACCAGCTCTTCTGGGACACAGCAAAGGCAGTCCTCAGAGGCAAAGGTATAGCTCTGAGTTCCTATATCAACAAATTGGAGAGATCTAAAAATAACAATTTAATGAGACATCAGAGCCTCCTTTAAAAAGAGCAGTAAGATAAACCCGAATACAGTAGCCTGAAAGAAATAATTAAAATTTAATCTGAAATAAATGAATTAAAATCCCAAAAAACTATAGAAAGAATCAACAAAACAAACAGTTGGTTCTTTGCTTAATATGCAGGTTTGTCTTAAAGAACTATCAGTGTGTTTTGGCCTTGGCTTTTGCTATTGAGCAGATCAACAAAAACACTGATGTTTTACATAACGTAGCTCTGGGATTTGATGTCCATGATGTTCACTTCAGAGCTTGGACAATGTTTAAGAATCCCTTCATTTGTCTCTTTGTGAAGTATAAGATTCCAAACTACTCCTGCATGAGAGACAGCAGGTCTATAGCAGAACTTACAGGTCTATCTGGAACAACATCTAACCAGATTGGAACATTGCTAGGATTCTACAGATTTCCACAGGTGAGGGCGGAAAGTGTGGAAGGACACAAAAATGACTAATTTCATGCCATTTCAGGTGTTAGAAGAGATTGATAGAAAGAGAGTGGATTAATGAACAAGTCAAATTTTGTGATATCTAAGTGTAATTACTTAATGGTAGTCAATTATATGTTTTTACACATTTTGAAAAAAGAGGTGGAAGATTTGAGCAAATAATTGGATAATAATTGTTTCAATCCATATGAATAATTTTCTTTAATAAATCAGGAAATGGAAAATGACTTTGCAGTAAGAAGATATGTTGAGCAGGTTACTGATGGCACACAAAAGTAATCCTAGCTAATCAGAAAACTTGTTTCTCCAATTAACCTGCAAGGAGCTAAAGGTGAATGTATGACTCCATTGTTACAGCACAAGTCTTGAGGGAAATTGCCAATGAAGTACGAGAGTATGAGTGTGTGCCCCTGTATTGGCATTTATGTGTAAACACACACACACACACACACACACACACACACACACAGAAGATAATATTTTGAATAAAATAAATCCAGCTCAAAATGAGAAAGTATATCCATATCCTCAGAAACGTGAAAGTTAGATCTAAAATATGAACATGTTATATGAAATAAATCTGGAATACTCACATAGATATTTGCATATATACATTATCAATCTGACTAAAGTATGTTATATGTAAAAGTGCAACTCCATGGTGTAAAATTTTCTGATCTACTGACAGTGTGAAAAATGAAAACCAAAAAGGGTGAAGTGAGCATATCTTTTCTGAGTGGGATAGGTTTTAAGGGAAGAATACACAGGAATAGGAAATGGATTGGTGGGGAAAAATAGCATAGTATTCAATGGACATGTGTCAAAATGGAATTAGGAAAGTCGGGGAGTGTGTGGGGTTATAAATGGGAAGTGTTGATGGGAAATAGTGACAAATAATCATTTTATAATAAATTACAAATAAATTTATGTGGTGTACAACTATCCAAAAACAAATTATTTTTCAAAAACTAAAACAAAACCTACTTTCCATCTTCTGGAACTAGTTCTTAACAGACTTCAAGACTGGGATTATGATGCATCACAATCTTCTCATTCAAGGAACATCCAATTTTTGTTCCCTTCAGTTTACCTTTGGGCCTTTTGGTCATGCCCGGAGTGACCATAATAAGTTTCCTGCTCTCTATCAGATGGCACCAAAGGACACATCAATAGCCACTGCCATGGTCACCTTACTGCTTCAATTCAGTTGGAGCTGGTTGGGACTATTGAGCACACAAGATGAAAATGGTGCAAGGATTCTTGCTGAATTGAAAGAAGAGATGGCCAAGAACAGATTTTGTGTAGCCTATGAGCTAGTGATCACCCCCAAGACTTCTTCAAACACATAGAAGTACATCATGAAACGAATCTATCTACAGCAAGTGTCCTCATCCTTTATGGTGATAATGATTCACTGATGGCTTTTATGGTATTTATTGAACGAATCTATCTACAGCAAGTGTCCTCATCCTTTATGGTGATAATGATTCACTGATGGCTTTTATGGTATTTATTGAGCAAATTTTTATACATGGCAAAGTTTGTATCATGAACTCTCAGGGGGATTTCACCCTGAAAAGGAGATAATTCATGTTGGGATAATTGTATGTACCTCTTATTTTTACACACCATCATGTAGATATTTCTGGATTCACAGATTTTGTCAAGGCAGCTAAGCCTTCCAAATACCCAGAAGACATTTTCCTTGCGAGGCTGTGGTTTCTCTCTTTTAATTGCTCTAACTCTGAGTCTGACTGTATAACGTGGGACAACTGTGCTCATGATGCCTCTTTGGATTGGTGACCTGGGCATATTTTTGACATGATTATGTCTGCAGACAGTTACAAAATATACAACGTTGTGTATGCTGTGGCCCAGGCTCTCCATGATTTGCTTCTTCATCAAACAGAAGTTCAAACAATGGGAAATAAAAATGGAGAAATGCCTTCCTCTACTCAGGTAAGTTCTTCTATGGTGGAGAACACAAACAATGAGCAAAGGCAGAGGGGTTTCTGTAGGAAATTAAATATTTCTGTATGTGTGCATGTGTGATTCTGTTTTTATATATGATGCGTGTATATACACACATATAAACACACATCATATGTATATATATATTTGTATCCCTATATCATACGTATTTGGCTTACTGATATTAATAGGTATATATTTCAGTATTTGAACTAATTGTTTCAACTCTTAAGCTTTTTCCTTTCTATTATGAGAAATTATTAGAAGTACAAATTTGAACAAATGTATAAGCACATTTAAAACATTAAATATTTCAGGTGTTTTTCCAAACCCTATGAATTTTTTATGTTGCAATGTCTTTTAGGTATTTTAGACATGTGGGGATATTCTCTGAAGAAAACAACAGGCCAATAATAAGAATAAAATATATTCCATCTTTCTATAAATTAATTTTGGCTAGTGCAGGGGCTTGAACACAGGGCCTGGGTATTTCCCTGAGTCTGTGTTCAAGGTAAGCACACAACCACTTTAGCATAGCAAAACTTCTGACTTTTTCTGAAAAGTTCATTGGATACAATGTTCTCACTGACTTTTCTGCCCCAGCCTGCTTGGAAGCATGATGCTCTGATCTGAGCCTCTTGAGCCTCCTTGAGCCACCAGCCCCTGTTAATGAACTCATTACTTATGAATATTGTCACATGTTCATAGCTAGTGCTGTAAAATCTGTAATTTCAGCTCTTCCCTATGAGTTTCTTCAGTCATAGCAAAGGATGACTTGCTGAAAACAATTATCCATGTTTTTCATGAGTGACCGAGTTTCATTCAACACGTGGTATTAAATATTTAGCAAGCACAAACTATAGACATTCACAAAAGAATGGTTGGGGCAAAATGATTTTTCTGAAAAACTCTTCTTTTTCTGAGTGATCAGGAAGGATTTTTTTCACAAAGCTTATTTTGATTCCTCCATAGATTTTCTTCTGGGATACTTCATTAGGTGTCTCTACTATTCTTTAATTCAGAATCAGAAATTAAAGGCAATCAGGAGCTTTTAATATTTTGCTTTCTGTCTTAAGTCTGGAACATACTTGAACATAAGATGATATCTTCTTTTAGCTGCACAATTTTCTGAAGAACATCCAGTTTTACAATCCTACTGGAGATCAAGTGATTTGGGACAAGAAAAGGAAATTGGAGACAGAGTATGAAATTCTGAATATTTGGGATTTCCCAGAGAGTCTTGAACTTGAAATGAAAGTAGGAAACTTTTCTCCATATGCTCCACATGGCAATCAACTGTCTTTATCTGAAGATATGATAGAGTGGGCCGTTGAAACTACAGGGGTGAGTTGGATCTAATCCTAATAATTTCAAGCACACACAAATCAGCAAAAGTCACCCTTTTAGTTTGTACCTGGCTGAGTTCCAGATACATTCTCCTATAATCCTAGTTTAATAGACCTGAAATGGGAATATCAAAGTTTACAGTCAGCTAACATAGAAACTTTGTGAGATTCCTATTGCCAATAAACCTCCAAAAATTTGGAGATAGAGCTGTGATTAAGGTAGTAGAGTGCTATCCTTGAGCAAAAATAGTTTTCAAGTCCAGTGTTCAGTCCTTGATATCAAGCCCCAGGATCAGAACCAAAAGAGTTAAGTGTGTTTCTACATGTTGATTTGGAATATTTTCATAAGATGTAAATTATGTTTTTCTCTGTGGTATTCTAACACTGTGACAAAGTACCTGAAGAGTTAATTTATGGGGTTGAAAGGTTGCTATTGTTCCTTTCTGTGGAGATTCATTCATTGGTTAATTGACCTCCTCCTTAACCATCTCAGGTTATAGGAATCATTGATGGCACCTGTGAGAAGATTTTTCACCTCATGAACACTGGAAAACAAAGAGAAAAATAAGATGATCCGGGGGCTCATATAACCCTATAAAGTGGAGGGCTCCCTCTTACACTTTCTAATGTCACAGATAAGTAGAAGAAAGCATACAGTGCCAGGAATTCTAGGAAATACCACAGGGCTGCACACTACAAATTACTATCTCACCATTACTTGCAACATTCTAGAAATCAAGATTGAAGCACATAGCCTTGGGGAATCATGGAATATGTAATTTATAATAGAATTCAATAAATCAGCTGCACTTACCTGCTTAAAACATTATGCTTCAACATCCCATTTGAAAGGCATGGATTGCTGTAATATTTGGTACAAGTCTGAACAATTACAGACATATCCCTGACTTTCCTCAGACTCCTCACTCTGCCTGCAGTGAGAGTTATGATCCTGGATTCCGGAAATCTCCTCAGGAGGGAAAGGCTGCCTGTTGCTTTGATTGTATACCTTGTCCAGAAAATGAGATTGCCAATGAGACAGGTGAGCTGTGACTTATAAAGAAATCCTTTATCTCTCTCTAGATATCCTCAATTAAAACAGGTCAATGAAAAACTTTGTATTAAGATTACAGAGCCCCTTCTCTTTCTCTCTGTTAAAAACTAAAGTCTGACAAGACGTGGTATTACTAATGGAAATATGATAGAACATGGCTTTGAATTACATATTTAAAATGATTTTGCAGTCTATTGCAGGCAAATTGTCTCCAGGAATCCTTCATATCACTAATCCTTAGAACAAGTCTAAACTCTAGCATAAAATTAAACATAAGTTCGAACAAGGACAGCATTCATCTTAAAACTTACATTTTACTCACAAAGAAAACTTGACTCTTGTTTATCTTTATTTCTCAGTGCCAAAACATTTCTTGGCAAAGGACAAGGGCTCAGTAAGCTAGAATCAGTTTAAGAATTGAGCATGACTATAGAGAGTCCAAGAGTGAACAGTTTCTTCCTACAACTTCACAGAGGAGCGGGCAAGAAAAGCATAATGAGATGAAATCAAGGATAATATACCACAAGGTAATATTTATATCTTACAGAAATATATCAAGCAATGTAAGCTGTATAATTCTAATTAGAATTCAATTGCAGTACTTTTAATTAGCATGACTAAAAGAAAAAATATTAATAAGTCATTGCAGTAGCCCAACATCGTATCAATACATATGATCATCAATGAGAAACAACATATGTTGAATAACAATGCTGGATTAAAGAAGAATATAAAAATTGGAGACAGGTGCGGCTTGTGAAAAAATAAAAAAACACTTTTATGATATTAAATGCTGACATCTGAGGATTTCAACTAAATGAAAATTTTCCAAAATTCTTTGAAACAAATGAAGTTCATAAAAAAGTAAAGGTTTTATAACTGTCTCACCAGATATGGAGCAATGTGTGAAGTGTCCAGATCATCAGTATGCCAACCCACAGAAGACTCAGTGCTTCTTGAGAGTTGCAAATTTCCTGGTCTTTGGAGATCCCTTGGGCAATGCTCTGGTCTGCATGGCTCTTTGCTTCTCCATATTGACTACTGCTGTTCTTGGGATGTTTGTGAAACACCAAGATACTGCCATTGTCAAGGCCAATAACCAGACTCTCAGCTACATGTTGCTCATTCCTCTCATCTTCTGTTTCCTCTGTTCTTTGCTCTTTCTTGGTAGACCACAAATACTCACCTGCGTCCTACAGCAGATCATATTTGGGGTTGTATGTACTGTGGCTGTTTCCACAGTATTGGTCAAAAGAGGGATTTTGGTTCTGGCCTTCAAGGCCACTTCCCTAGGAAGAAGGATGAGGTGGCTGCTGGTATCAGGGGCTCCTAACTTCATCATCCCCATCTGCACCCTCATCCAAGTGACTCCCTGTGGACTCTGGCTGGCAACCTCTCCTCCCTTTGTGGAAACATATGCACACTCTGAACAAGGCCACATCATCATCCTGTGCAACAAGGGCTCACTCACTGCCTTCTACTGTGTCCTGGGATACCTTGGCTTTCTGGCCCTGTCCAGCTTCACCATGGCTTTTCTGGCCAGGATCGTGCCTGACACCTTCAATGAAGCCAAGTTCCTGACCTTCAGCATACTGGTGATCTGCAGTGTGTGGCTCACCTTCCTGCCTGTCTACCACAGTGCCATGGGGAAGGTCATGGTGGCTGTGGAGGTCTTCTCCATCTTGGCCTCTGGTGCAGGGTTCCTAGGTTGCATTTTTGCCCCAAAGTGTTATATCCTTTTATTAATGCCAAATAGAAATTCTCTGCATGGCTTCAGGGATAAAAGACATAGTAGGAGAAATAAATATTCTTAAGATTAAGTACCTGGTTTGATTAGTACACAGAAGGTGTGATCCAAACCTATAGTTATAGTAATGATCTCTTCTTGTCATAGTTTATATTATAGAATTTTTACTTCAATGAGTAAGGCTGTACTCTATATTTCCTAGCAATGGTAGTCACAAGTGCTGGCAATCACAATTTATACTGGAGTTTTGCTTCTATATCTTGGTTCTTCCTATTTAATCTGCACTTAATTATATTATCCCCTCTTCCTAAAGTCTTTTCTCTATTGTCTTTTATATATGTATATTTTTATTTTAAAGACACAGTTACATGAGTAAGGTAATGAGTACATTTCCTATGAGCATCTTTAACCGCTCCTTTGTTTTCCCCTACCATCCCTTCAGCCCCATGTCCCTACCCCTTGCCGATCCGCCCCCTCCAAGTTGTAAAGTTCGTTTTCAACATAGTGTCTTGTACATTTCATTATTACAATGGGTCAACCTGTATCCTTGTTTCAGCATTTTGTCATTTACCTTCCCCTCCCCAAACTAGAAAAATGTATGTACATGATCAGGGCACCCAAATCAATTACAGTAAAAACAGGGGTTATGCCATGGGGAAAGAACATACAAAAGAAACAAAAAATTTACATAATACATTTAAAATGACAGTGAGAAAGATAAAAACTCTTGTTCCTTTTCCTGTGGATTATTTCACTTAGCATCATCCATCATTTTTTTTTTTTTAACTGTGGGCCTGGGTGCTTTCCCTGCACTCTACAGTTCAAGGCAAGCGCTCTAGCAATTGAACCACAGCAGCACTTCTGGTTTTTCTAGTGGTTTTCTAGTGGTTCTCTGGTTTTCTAGTGGAGATAAGGGTCTCATGAAGTTTCCTGCTTGGGCTTGCTTTGAATCACGATCCTCAGATCTCACCCTCCTGAATAGCTAGGATTACAGGCATGAGCCATTGGCATCTGGCTAGCATCATCTTATATGATCATATGTACATAGTTTTTCTGGTAGTCCGGTAAGATTATCTATTGTCTTTCTCAATAACTCCTCTACATCATTATGTTTATTAACTTCCTGTCTGCTCACCGCCATGTTGCAGAGTCCTCCAATACAGTTCATTAATATTTTCCTCTTCACAAATTTACATTTTTAATGTTGTCCTTAGATTTTGTTTTGTTCAATATTTGTATATTTCTACTCACATGTTGACCTTTTGAAATTATCCTAAGTCTCTTTTGTGGGACATTTCTCTCTGTCCTGATCTCTCTTTCGCTTTGTCTCTCTCCATCTCATTCTTTGTCTTTCTCTTCCCTCTCACACTGCTTCCCTCATATAACTTGGGAATGACTTGTATATGTTACAAAAATGAACTCTCTTTTAAATTTGCAATGAAGAAAAAATTTTTGAATTTTCTCCTAATATTTTTTTGGGGAATATATATATATATATATATACATATATATATATATATATAATTGTGAAAATACTCTACAGAGAGGTTACAATTGTGTGGGCATGATAATGAGTACATTTCTTATCAAGCATTGTAGCTTCCTCCTTTGTTTCTCCTCCCATCTCTTCCCATACTCCCCCCCCCCCCCCCCGCCTCCTCACCCAATCCTCCCCGCTCCCTTCCCCTCACCAAAGTTGTAAAATTCATTTTCGACATAACGACTTGTACATCACATTGTTGCAATGGGTCCACCTGTTTCCCTATTTAAATGATTTGTTTCTCCTAATATTAAAGTCAATCATGCCTACAGGTAAGCCCTTTCTTTCCTGGATATACTCTTCATTTTAAGGTTGATAATATCTCTTCATTAATTTGACACAAAGAATTTTTAATATTAAATATATAAGGTTATTTCTTGTAATAACATCACTTCCTACAATTTGTTAAAACAGGAAAAATTTTATTTGCCACATTTCAAAATCTTGATAAGGCAAACTTTACTTATTTTTTCAAATAGGTTGTTTTAATGGGCCCTATACTATGATTACATAATTGCATTTTTAAGAGATACAGACACAATTGCACTCATTGCTTGTCTGTTCAAGAGTTTTTTACTTGATTCTTTTGGTTTTAATTCACTTCATTTATGCATATTTGTATCAGGACCTATACTTTTCTTCACCATTTTCACTCAATGCTTCTTTACCACTCAATCTACAGTTCCATTTTTTTGTCCACTTACTGGAAATAAGACTCTCGTACACTTTGCTGCCTAGGCTGACGTCAAACCTCTTCTCACATTTACATTTGGAATACATACATGACTATGTAACTTACTATAGCTTTCTATAAATTAAATTTCTAATTGAAAATATAACAATATTTTGGCAAAAATATTGTGTTGTTGAGGGCATGATTTTTAAAAAATGAACATGTAATTAATTTTCAAATTCTTCACTATGGTAATCAATATATAATCAAAATACTCATTAGTTTCTAATGAGTATTTTGACTATATTCTTTCTTTTTTTTAGGAATTTCATTAATAGTGTTGATTTTATGTTACTGAGTAAAATGCAGAATCCTTATTTTGTCATGTGAAATTATTGGAAAATATGTGATTTCAGTGATTTTGCATTGTATTTTGTAGTATTTGCTATTTCGGATTAGTGATCTTGCACAACACTTTTTCCCTTAAATGAAGTAATGAAAAGAATAAGAATATACACATAGGATGGATTTATTTATTGAAGTAAAATTGGATGAATGGGAGCCAAGGAGAAATTAAATGGGATGTAAAGGAAAAGTTCATGGGTAAATAGATAGAAGAACAGAGATAAGAAAGGAACAAGGAAAATGAAAGATTTTTTTTGATTTTTTGTTTTACTTTAAGTCATGGTTTACTATCTTTTGTGTGTGTGTGTGTGTGTGTGTGTGTGTGTGTGCGCACGTGTATGTGTGTGTGTGTGTGCATGTTATTGGGAATCAACTGCCATATGGTTTAAGCTGATTTAGTTTTGCTTTAAAATGGTTTACATCTATTCTATCAAACATTGGGGATTTAATATTCATGAACAAAGTAAAATAATGGATGCTATTAGAATCATTTAAATTTTCAGAGGAAATAAAGGGCATTTAGACAAAAGACTTTATGTGCTCATATAAAATTACCATAATGAAACCCATTTTAAACATACACATAGTAAAAATTTATAATAATACAAAAAATAAAATTTAAATACAATCTAGAGTTGGAAAAAAAATTTTCTCTTGTGTGTATTTGGACCAAATTTTACTTTTTTTTGGTCCAGTCGTGGGGCCTGAACTCTGGGCCTTGGTTCTGTCCCTCAGCTCTTCAGCTCAAGGCTACTGCTCTACCACTTGAGCCACAGCGCCACTTTCGGCTTTTTTCTTTTTGCTTATGTGGTGCTGAGGAATCGAACCCAGGGCCTCAGGCATGCAAGGCAAGCGCTCTACCACTGAGCCACCTTCCCAGCCCCCCAAATTTCATTTTTTAATCACTTAAAATAAAATAAAGTCGAGATGAGTGCAAAGTTGATATCATATATCCCTTCAAATAGTGGCTTAAAAAAACTAATGTCAAGGACTCACAACCTAAGAAAAGATCTCTAAAGACCTCTAGAGTGAACAAGAAAGCTATCATATAAGACAGTAGATAGGCAGGTGGAAAAACATCCTGCGTTCTATGTTTGGCAGAATTAAATTTGCAAAAGTGGCTATATTCCTGACAGCTACTATGCACTGAATACTATTCCACTGAAAATTAGAGTGTATTTTTGTAGCAATATAAAAATTAATAGTAATCCAAAACTGTAGGAATCTCTGATAACCCTAGTTGATATTATGAAGATTCTTTTCTAAATCCAGGCAGGGAAAGAAAGATTCTGGACTGTCTTTCCTGAGTGGGGTGGCAGGTATCTGTGATGCCAGCTCTGTAAGTGGTGGAGATTGAGGAAATGAGAGTTCCAAGACAGTGCTAAGTGGGTGATAGTCACAACAGTGGTGCATGCCTATAACCACAGCTATGATGGAATTGTAAAAAAACATTAAAATCCATTTGTGTGCATTGCTATGTAGTAAAAGCTTATCTCAAAAATACACAGAGCAAGTTGGGTGTTGGTGACATGTCAGTAATACTTGGTATTCACCAAGCTGAGATATGAGCAAAGTCACAGAGTGGAAGAGACATAGTAGGAATGGATGGAGTAAAATTACCTTTTAGTTGTCATTGTGGGAATCCTCTACTAAAATAGCCTGTCTCACACATGACTTAAAGCAGAAGGGCTAAAAAAGAGGGTAGGAAGCAAAGTAGCTTGGATTCAATCAATAACCCAGGTAAAGGAAATACAAGGATCATCACAGTTGTAGCATCCTCTAAAATCCCAGATATGAACAAGCTTCAGCAAAAACCCATGGAAAGACTTGAGCTTAGCAGAAAAGCATGGTACACTTCTACATAAAATTTGTTAGAGAAACAAAGGTGAGAAGCCTCAGGTGAACAGGATAACGGGGCCAGCTACAGCTCTAAGTTTTCCTTTGGCTTTGGGTAGAACCACAGCTCAGCAGCTTCCAAGGAGGGAAATAATGGACAAGAGAAGATTAAATTATGAATTGATGGTTGATTTGGGGAGAAGGTAAAATCACAATCTTGGTAAGAATTGTGTGAGGCTCCCAGACTAAGGGCTCAGACCCCTAACACTTTCATTGAAAATTGTATTGAGCTTCTATGCTGGAAAATGGGTGCTTAATAGACTCAATTATACAGTGACATCTCTCAAAAGCCAGCTACTAGGTTAAAATTGTCACTCACAAGAAATGAAATTAGAACCGTGACAAATAATCACAAATTTAAGTTAAACCCATTCAGAAAAGTAGTCAATACTCCAGCAATCACTAGACAGAGAAGAAGTCAGAGAAACCATTAAATTCCAAATAGTACCTAAGAAATATATCTTAAATACCTAGGAATAAATGCAACCAAGGGACTGAAAGAGATCTACAAAGAAAACCATAAATTTATGAAAAAAGCAGAAGACATAAAAAGAAAAAGTCTCCATTGGGGATAGTTTGGGGAAAAGATTATTGTGAAAATATCAACATCACTCAAAATTATATACATACATATATATGTGTGTGTTTATATGTATTTATGTGAAATATAAATATATATTCAAAGAAATCCTTATAAATATCCCAAAATCTCTTATCATAGAAATAGAAAATTCAATCCTAATACTGATACACAAAAAAAGACTCTCTTAAGCCAAAGAAATCTTAAGCATAAAGAGTAATGCAGGATTTATTATGACACCAGACTTCAAATTATACTACTGAGATTAAGTATCAAAGCCAGCATTGTACTTGCCCAAACAAAGAACAAGAAGACCAACAGAACAGATCCGATGACCTCAAAATGAGTTTGACAAAGGAGCCTACTGTGCGCGCATGTGCACGCGCACACACACACACACACACACACAAACACACACACACACACACACACACACACAGACTCAAGTGTTGTATCATTGCAGAAAAATCCAAAAACTGGATCTGTACATGTAGAAGATGGAAAATAGGTCACTGTTTCTTTCAGCGTCAATTAATATAACTTCAAAGTGGAGCAAAGAGTTTATTACACTTACTTGATTTTTGTTATATTAAATAACTTCAAGAGCCAGCAGAAAGTTTGCGGAGGTGTAGCTGGGACCTAATTAAGCTCTCTCCAAGAAACCAGTTTTCACACTTCAGGGAAAACTCCATTATTGGGAAATCAGACCAAGTGAGTCATCATAGTACAGAGATTCTTCTCAGTGAGGAAAAATTCAGGCAGAGAGCAGCCATGCTTCTCTGCAGGGAGCAACCAATCCTGCAACTTAGACAGATACAGGAATTACAAAGCCAAAAATTGGTAAAATTTCACTAAAAATCAGTTTTTAAATTATAATAAATGAAGTATGCCAGGCCCAAAGAAACATAGGTCCCACGGTTTCTCTTAATTGCAATTACTAGTATATGTCTGAGAAGCAGAAATGGTCAGATAAGTTGATGTTAAGCGAAATGAACCTCAAGATAAGGATTCAAATTTTTTTTTCTTGCTTGCTATTGTTTCTAACATATTTATAAGATGATTTCTTTGTTGCTTTGTATGTCCCTCCCCCACGGTATAGCCCTTGTTGTAACTGTATTTGATATTGGTATAATTTGTGGAGGGGAAGGAAATAAGCAAAATTTTTAAATAGGGATACAGGTGGACCAATTGCAACAAAGAGGTGTACAAGACGTTATGTCGAAAAACGAACTTTACAACTTTGGCCGGGGGTGGGGGCTTGGGGGGAGGGAGATGGGAAGAGATTGGAAGGGCAAAGATAGGAGGAAGTAACAATGCTTGATAAGAAATGTCCTCATTACCTTGCCCATGTAATTGTCACCCCTCTGTATGTCACCCCTCACAATAAAAAATGCAAATGAACATGGCATTAGTTACTGAGCTTCTAGAAAGAAAAGTTAGATACAGAGAAATACAGTTTGGGAATTTAAATAAAAATGTGTATAGGCTATAAATGCCTAGCCAAACTAGGGGCTAGCCATAAAGGTGCTACCCCTTCCAGATAAAGCCACAGATTCTAACCAAGCCCAAAACCCCACCCACTTCAAGGTCACCCTCAGCAGCAAACCACAGAAGCTCGCCACCTCCTCTCTGCATTACATAAAAAGCAGATCTTGTGGCCAATAATGTATTCTGGGAAGAAAGTCACAAAACCTAAGCCCGTAAATCTAACACTCTAACAGTCTGATTTGGGGAACCAACCAAGCTCCAAGAAAAACCGACTAATGGAAGCAAACCAAAGACACCATCAAGAGACTGGAAAGAGAACATAGGGGAGACACAAGATCTCCCAAATAAATAGGTTTCTTTTCTTCCTTATTATAAGTTACACATATATTTTTTCTCTCTTTTAAACTATTTTTACTTTCTGTTACTTTATTTTCCTTTTTGTTTCTTGTGTTTTGTTTTTGATTTTGATTTTCTGTGTTTTTTTTTTTTTTTTATACAACCCCATTTGTTTTTTTCTTCCTCATTACTGTTCTGTTCATTCCTGGATACACAGCCTATGGTAATTACTGCACTTTCTTCTTAATTGTGTCTGTACTTCATTCAGCATATAAGTTGATTACACAATTCTCTACTGTGCAATCTTCGCATTTTTATTTTTGTACTATTACTTCATATAATATTTAAACTTTATCTCTTCTTTTTTGTGGTTGGTCATGGGGCCTGAGCTCTGTGTCTGGGCGCTGTCCCTCAGCTCTTCAGCTCAAGGCTAGCACTTTACCACTTGAGCCACAGCACCAATTCTGGCTTTTTTCTGCTTATGTGGTGCTGAGTAATCGAACCCAGGGCCTCCTGGGTGGGAGGCAAGGCAAGCACTCTACCACTGAGCCACTTTCCCAGCCCCAAACTTTATCTCTTCACATTTTATTTTTTATATTTTTCTTTTTCCTTCTTTATCTTCTTCTTCTTCTTTTTTACTCTAAATTTAAGTCTTAGTTTTCTTACCACTATTCCATTCCTTCCCTTCATCCCTCTACTCTGATTTTTTCCTATTCCCCTTTACATTTCTTAATCTTTCCTCTAATTTTACCTCAACCCTTTTTACATTATTCCTGGACCTTTATTCCTTCTTTGTTCTTTTACACGGTTGATCCCCAGTTGTTAGACAGTAAGCTAGACTATAACTATAGCCAGTGAGACTTTGCCAAAGTGGCTGATGGTACTGTCATTTTGGTCCAAATTCCTTTAAACCTTCTAAAAGATATGCTCATTGATTACAGCTATATAAAATACCCACTTCTGAAACACAATACACTTCTCCTGACAAAGAAAAGCAGAGATAAATTGGGGAATATCTATCTATGATGGTGAACATGCAAATCGGTGTAAATACATAGCCCAGGGTTGGGTTTGTCTTAAAACTGTGCTCTGTGTGTGTAACGGGCCTACTTTCATATCCAATAAAGGAAAGATAGAATGAAAACACCTATCCCTGACTGTGATCCTCCAAAATCTGTGGAACCACAGGGCTCTGGGTGGGTGCTTGTCTTAAAATTGTGTTCTGGTATGGAATTGAATGTACTTGAATTTCCAAAAAAGGGAGACCTATCTCTGATTGAGACCCTACACAGTCTGTGTAATTACAGGGCTGTGGGTTGGAGACTGTCTTAGAATTGTGTCGTGGTATGGAATTGGTTATACTGTCATTACCCAAAAAGGAGAGATAGAGTGCCAACACACATAGTCAGACTCCAAAGTCTATGGAACTACAGGACTATGGGTTGGGAGTTTGAGTGAGGACTTGAATTTTCTCATTCCCAAATGGGCAGAACAAGCCATAGGAAAACAAGAAAAAAATGGCAAGTCAAGGAACCTCAACCCCCATTCAAGACAAACAGGCAACAGGGCAGTTAATGAAAAACCATTAGATAAGTTCTCAAAATACTCTACAATACTACTGCTGAATGAAAACATGCTGAATAGAAAGATTAAAAGCCTGAATGGGGCTATCTATGAGCTTGATGAGGCTAGCTGTATTCTTGGAATACACAAAAAGAAGGCTGGATGAATTCTAACAGAAGGAATGGGAGTCCAGTGAAACTGTAACCACTCAACTAATGGATTTGAGTGTGAACACTGAAAACTAAATCAAAGAGGTAAAGAAATCCATACAAGATTTAAAACAAAGCTTCAACAAAGAAATTCAAGACATCCATACTGACTCATTAGAAAGAAGGGAAAGAAAAAACAAAGTAGAAAGTCTTGAGTGTAGGCTAGATCATGCAGAAGATCGAAGCTCTGGGAGTGAAAATAGCATAGACATTACAGCTAAAGAAAAGTACGCAATGTCTTTGATTCTGGTACACTGTGTGTTATATATACATTTATCTGCTTTGGGGAAGGGAAGGGGAATAACAAAATGCTGAAACAAGAACAAAGAGTGACCCAATGCAACAATGATACTTACAAGACACTAATTTAGAAATGAATTTACAATTTTGGGAGGGAGGAAAGGGTAATGGAAGGAAAATGAAGAAACAGGTAACAACATTCAACAAGAAATATACTCATTACCTTACTCATGTAACAGTAATGCATTTGTATAGCACCCTTACAATAAAATAAACAAATCACTGTAGAAGTTAGTTTCAATTAAATACATCTATTTATGTGTATCCTGATCTGATCACCCCTTACATTTAGCCTCATTTTGTCATATGAAGGGAAATGAATGGATCTGCAAAGCCTCATTTCCAGTGAGGGACAAACTCAGAAGTACAAAGAACAGAGGTTTTTTTTTTTTTGTAATATTGGAAAGCTAGGCCTAAGCATACACATAAGTACATACTGTGCATTCACAGAACTTGCGTGTAATCATGGGGACAATTTGAAGAGGACATAGAGAAAAAATAAATGTGTAATGGGTGAATAATATCAAACTACATCATGTATATGCATGGATATGGGATAACTCAGTGAAAGTTGTAGGGTAGAAGAGATGAGGAAAGAGTCATGTGAGTCCAGTGGAAGTATAACATATCCATGAATGACATTGTCACAGTGAGCGCTCTTTTGAGAGTTATTGTATACTTCATATGAATAATATGAGTGTAACTGAGAGGCTGTCATTGGGAGGCACTAGATGGAGGGAGGAGGGTGAATGTAGATGCTGAAACTGGCTGACCTGTAGAAACAAATCAAAGAAAACAAATCAGTGAAAAAAATGGGACTGCATTTAACTTAAGAACTTCTTCATGGCAAAGGACAACGCTAGCTAGATCAATAGAAAGCCCACAGATTGGAGAAGAGCTTCACTTGCCATACAACAGACAAGGGCCTCATACATAAATATACTTAGAACTCAAAAATTTAAATCCCCCAAAAACAAATCCTTCAAAGAAACACTTGCACCATTAACAGATGGGCTAAAGACTTAAAGAGAGTCTTCTCTGAAGAGCAAAGTATGGCCAATAGACAAATGAAGTAATGCTCAACTTTTCTGGCCCTAAAAGGAATGCAAATCAAAACTACATTGAGAATGGCTATAATCAAGAAATCTAATAACAACAGATGCTGGAGGGGAGGTGGCCAAAAAGGAACCCTACTACCCTGCTGGGGGCAATATGACAGTGTAAAACCACTCTGTAGATTCGCCAAAAGACTAAACATAATTCTCCCCTGAAGGGATAGCATGGAGCAGAAAGGTCTGATGAATGTAAGAAAGCAAATGTCTGGCCTCTGGTGGGAGGAGAGAAAATTGTCATATCCACAGTAAACAACAAAAGTGAAAATATAATAATTATGAGTTCCTCAAAAACTATTACTCCTCAATTACTATCATTCCTTAAATAATTAAACATTGCTATGAATTTTTGGCTCCTTTTACCATTTTTCTTTTGGAATCATTGAGCGAGGACTGGCAGACAGGAAATGATTGGGCCATGCTAACCAAGGCTACTTTAACACGAGGCGATTTTCTTTTATGGAAGGCTGATTATGGTGAAAGATGCCAGGATATAGCTCACCGTAACACATCTGCTGGTGATCACTCTAAGTCCTGGACCATAGAAAAATTGATGGGCAATAAGCCATTTGATACTAATGAAAAACAGGCTAAATTTTCCCCAGGATTGCTTGTTCAGATTCAACACGCTGCCCTTAAGGCCTAGAAAAGCCTCTCTTCTCAAGGGACCCCCATTACCTCCTTGGCCAAAGTTAGACAAGGACCCCATGAATCTTACAGTGAGTTCATTGGAAGCCTTACAGAGGCTGCCGAGAGCCTTATGGGAAAGGAAGAAACAGATAATGAGCTTATCAAACATCTTGCTTTTGAAAATGCCAATTCTGCTTGCCAAGCGGCTTTACATCCCCACTGCCATGGCAAAACCATTACTGACTTTATCAGACTTTGCTCTGATGTTGACCCTGCCTTGCGTAACATCGGCCTGGACATAGGCACCGCCCTTACAGATTTTATTTAGAGCCAAAAACCTAAAACTTGTTTTACTTGTAAACAGCCTGGCCATTTTTCAAAGGACTGTATGGCCCCCAAGGCTGAAAAACCACCCCCTCCCTCCCTATGCCCAAGGTGCAAACGGGGCATACATTGGGCCTCTAAATGTCACTCCAAAACCGATATCCAGGACAATCCCCTACCACCCAAACAGGGAAACTTTGTCCGGGGTCCGCCCCAGGGCCCCCAAACCCAAACAGGACAGAACCCTGGGGCTGTCAGGTTCTTCCCCCAAGTGACCCCTCATGCACCATCAGTGCCCTCATACAGGCAACCACAGGAAGTGCAGTATTGGACCTCTGTTCCTCCTCCCAAACAATATTGACCCCCAAATTAGGAAATCAGATTCTTTCCACAGGAGTGTTTGGCCCACTGCCCCCAAACACCTCTGGTTTCATTCTGGGGTGTGGTAGTGCTGTTTTTCAGGGCCTTACTATTTCCCCTGGGGTTATTGACAATGACTATGAGGAAGAGATTAAGTTCTTGGCTACTGCTTCTCAGGGGCCAGTCACAGTTTTTCCTGGACAAAGAATTGCTCAATTAATATTGTTTCCCCTTGATAAGAATGACCCTAGCCTTACACAAAAAAAGAGGATCCAGAGGCTTTGGGTCTTCGGACACTCACTGGGTCCAGGATATTACTCAGGACCGGCCTCTCCTCAAGCTAAAATTGGATGGGAAAAAAATTGAAGGCCTTATGGATACGTGTGCTGATGCTACAATTATTTCTAAAAAAGACTGGCCCTCCTCCTGGCCCCTTCCCCCTTCCATGATTCACCTTAAAGGCATTGGGCAAACCTCTAACCCATTACAGAGCTCCAAAATTTTAACCTGGGAAGATGAAGAAAAAAATAAGGGCACCGTACAGCCGTATGTAGTTGAGACCCTCTTGGTTAACTTGTGGGGACGTGATATTTTATCCCAAATGAAGCTTATAATGTGTAGTCCAAATGAATTGGTTACTCAACAGATGCTTAACCAGGGCTTTTGCCCTGGACAAGGCTTAGGAAAACATTCTCGAGACCCTAAAGAACCCATTCAGGTGGAGGTAAAACCAATTGTTTTGGTGTGGGCTATAAAAATTTATCCTAGGGGCCGTTGACATGCCTGTACTCTATGCAAACAAAATATCCTGGAAAAGGACTGAGCCTGTATGGGTTGATCAACGGTCCTTATCCTCTGAAAAACTGGCTGCGGCTACTACGTTGGTGCAGGAACAGCTTGCCGCAGGCCACATTGAACCCACCACCTCTCTGTGGAACACTCCCATTTTTGTAATTAAAAAGAAATTAGGAAAATGGGGGTTACTTCAGGATCTTAGAGAAGTAAATAAGGCCATGGTGCCCATGGGAGCCCTTTAACCTGGCCTTCCCACACTCGTGGCTATTCCCACGGGGTATCATAAGATTGTTATTGATTCAAAGGATTGTTTTTTTTTTTTTTTTTTTTAACTATTCCTTTACACCCTAAGGACAGTGAACATTTTGCATTTAGTTTACCAGTAACTAATTTTAAAGAGCCTATGCCAAGATTTCAGTGGAAGGTTTTACCCCAGGGCATGGCAAATAGTCCCAAATTATGCCAAAAGTTTGTAGCTCAGGTAGTGTATCCATTTAGGCAACAGTGGCCCTCCATATATTTAATTCACTATACGGATGATTTACTTTTAGCGGGCCCTGAGCCTGATCAGCTTCTTTACTTCTCCCAAAGACTTTCTAAAGCCCTTACTGACTCTGGCCTTCAAATTGCATCAGATGAGATCCAGCTAGCTCCTCCCTATACATTTCTGGGCTTTGAGCTTTTTTATAAAAGGAGTTTTTCACAAAAAATTCAACTTAGAACAGCCCATTTAAAAACCTTAAATGATTTTCAGAGGCTTCTCGGAGACATTAACTGGCTCCGGCCATACCTTAAACTAACCACTGACGAACTTAAACCTCTATTTGATATCCTTAAAGGGGACCCAAATCCGACCTCCAGCCAATCATTAACCCCCCAAGCCCAAGAAGCGTTGAGATTGGTAGAAACCGCAATTACAAATCGACAAATTACTTTTATTTCCTGTAATAAACCCCTTCAGTACATTATATGTGCCACCAACTTTACACCCACTGGAGTTTTTTGGCAACAGGGACCTTTGTTTTGGGTACATTTACCCACCTCTCCTCCTAAGGTCCTTACACCATACACCTTCTGGGTAACAGAATTAATCAAAATGGGAAGAGAACATAGTAAAAAAAATGTTTGGCAAAGTTCCTGATAAAATAATACTGCCCTATTCCCCCACTCAAATTCAGTAGTTAATTCAAAATGATGATGACTGGGCTGTGTCTTGCATTTCCTTTCAAGGAACCTTTGATAATCATTACCCTGCTAACAAACTTCTCCAGTTTTTAAGATATCAGTCCTTTGTTTTCCCCACACAAAGTTCCCCTCAACCCTTATCCCATGGTTCCCTGGCTTTTACTGATGGTTCCTCCAATGGGATAGCAGCTTTTACCATTGATTCTCAGACTGTTTCCCTTCAGTCCCCTTACCGTTCGGCACAATTGGTTGAGTTTTTTTTTTGCAGTTTTACAAGTGTTTATTCAACTATCTATTGTTCATTTTAACTTGTATACTGATAGTTCTTATATTGCTCATTCCATCCCCTTACTTGAAACAGTTCCTTATATTAAACCAACCACTAATGCCACCCCACTGTTTTCTTTGATTCAACAGTATATTTTAGCCAGACATTGCCCCTTTTTTATTGGACACATTCGTGCTCATTCAGGCCTCCCTGGACCTTAACAACAGGCAATAATGTAACGGAACAAGCAACTGAGCTTGTTTTTCTAGTCTAACACTATCCTGTATCTCAGGCAAAAGAGGCCCACTCTTTACACCACCTTAATGCTCAAACCCTGCACCTTCTTTATAATATTACCAGAGAACAGGTGAGGCAAATTGTAAAACAATGTCATAATTGTGTCGCCTTTTTGCCCATCCCCATTTAGGTGTTAACTCTAGGGGTTTGGTGCCAAATGAAATTTGGCAAATGGATATTACCCATGTTCCATCATTTGGCAGCCTTAAATATCTTCATGTTACCATTGACACCTTGAGTGGCCTTATTTTTGCCAGCCTTCACACCGGGGAAGCCTCTAAAAATGTTATTGCCCACATACTTGCCTGCTTAACTGCTATAGGAAAACCCAAATTTATTAAGACCAATAATGTCTCTGGATATACTGGAAATAACTTTCAACAATTTTGCCACCAGTTACAAATCAAACATATTACTGGGATCCCTTATAACCCTCAAGGTCAGAGCATTGTTGAACAGGCTCACCAAACTTTAAAAAATACACTTCAAAAATTAAAAATGGAGAACCTTTACCCTATAAAAAGAGCTCCAAGAAACATCCTTTATCATGCCTTGTTTGTTATTAATTTCCTAAGCTTGGACATTAACGGAAAAGCTGCAGCTGATCGGCTCTGGCATCCACAAACAAGTCAAAATTATGCTACTGTTTTTTTTAGAAAGATCCCCTAACCCATCAATGGAAAGGTCCTTACCCCGTACTAATTTGGAGCCGTGGGTCTGCCTGTATATTTGACAACAAAGAGGGCGCAGCTCCATGGCTTCCAGAACGCCTTGTTAAACCAATTGATAACAAGACTAACCCTAACCCTCCATCTTCCAGGGAAAGACAGAACCCTGAGAATCTGCCCTTGTTTGTTTCAGATGCTGTTGCCACTGAAAAATTTGATGATCCTCCACCTGTTGATGCTGGTTCCAGATGCCATTATTGAAGCTGACTCCTGTCATTGGGAATTTCACATTTTTTGCAATAGGGTTTGAGCTCCCACAACTGTTGAATAAGACCTGCTTTAAAAATAGCCAAGTAGAATCATACTTTGATGCCTGCCAACCACTGTTCCATATATTTGGGGAACTTGAGGCAGCTGGGAACAGAGTTACGCCATAAATCATAAATATATTTGCTGGAAGCATCTGGCCAGTCAACCAGATGACTGTGGTAATGTTAATGAAAGATATTGTCCCTATTGGTCCTGCCCCCATGAACATTCCGGGTCCCTCAGCTCCAATTTGGAGTTGTTGCGTCCTAAGGGCAAAAAAATGTTTTACAGGTGGCTGTAACCCTGTCAAGTATACAATTACTGACCCATTAGATCCCAAGTGGATATCAGGACTAACAGAAGGAATACGGGTGGATGGCTGAGGGCGAGACCCTTATGGGTTCGTACAAATTAAAAAGGTTTGGATACCCAAACATATTGCCTCCCCTGCTGAAGTTCTTATTCAACAGGTTGTTAATTCCTCCCAAGTTTTTTCTTCTATTGGATCTGGTGCATTCTTGGACCTTCTCCTTAATATTAGATATCCTTAAGAGGTCCTTTTTGCTGCTTAATACCACACGCCTGTAATTTTCACAAGGTTGCTGGCTGTGTATGTGTCTCTCCTATGAGATACCTTTAGATACAGCTGAGTATTTGTCTGCCCCATGCTAATTTGTTAGAAATGATAACCTCTTGCAATGCCTCCCCGTATATGTATTCTCCCCAGGTTCTGCTGGAGGTCCTACCAGAAAATTCCACATGCATTAACTATATTACCTCTAATCAAACCAAATATTTTTTTAGATTGCCGAAGATTTTTTAACACTTCTGGCCTACAAAGGAAAAGACATATTATCCCCCCACAAATACCTCCTTTTTATGCCAATACGGCTTATATCCTTTTTTTTAGAAGAAATTGGGCTAAAGCCTGTATAATTGTTTTTTTGTTCCCCTATATTGACATTCTTCCCAGGTCAGAACTGGTTCCCATTTATTTGACTGAGTTTGCACATGCCAAAAGAATGCCCGCATTTATTCCCTTTATGGTAGGCTTGGGAGTCACCGCTGGCGTGGCTGCAGGTGCTGCTGGCATTGCCACTTCCATTTCGTTTCATAACTCCTTACAAAACCAATTGGTTAATGACATTCAAGCGGTAACTAAAATTATCTTGACCATTCAAGAACAGCTAAACTCCCTTGTGCAAGTTGTGCTTCAAAATAGGCGAGGCCTCGACCTTCTTACTGCTAGGCAGGGTGGTCTCTGAGTTTTCTTACAGGAGGAGTGTTGCTTTTATGTTAACCAAAATGGCCTAGTTCAGAATCAAATTAGACAACTTCAAGAAAACTTAGAAAGAAGAAGATGGCAAGGTGACTCACCCATCGGATGGTGGGGGGCCAACAACATACTCCCCTATGTTCTTCCTCTGCTTGGACCACTTAGTGCTATCCTGCTAATTGTTATTGTGGGACCATGTATTTTTAACAGGATAATTAGTTTTGTAAGACAGCAAATTGACTCCCTGGCATCCAAACCCCTGCAAATTCATTACCACAGGGTAGATTTGGCTGATCAGGAAATAGGGAGACTTTCGTGGAGTCACTGCCTCTTGCTATACAGGCAAGTCAAACAGCAGAGCTTAGGCCTCCTTGGCAGCTGAAACCCAAATCGGCTAGACACCCATGCCATGGGCATCCATGGAAGGGTGGAACCTAGCGGTATCTGCCGATGAGGGCTATCAAAAACTTGCCGTTCAGGCTCGTAGAAGCAAACCCATCTGCATAGAGGTTGGATCCATCTGTAATCCTCTCCCCTAAAAAAGGATTGTTAAAACTTTCTAGGGGGATGGGTCTATACTTCCTTCCACTGGTTAAGGCCCTTGTACTCCAGGCCTCTACAAGACTCTGGTCAAGACCTTGTTACCCTTTCCCTGTAAATAAATTGGCCCCATTTAATAAAACAAAAAGGGAGAAGCTAGGAACCAAATGCTGTTTGCTAAGAAAATATAGCTACTACCTTCGATAAGAGCTGTTAAGCCTTGGAACCTATCAATACTCTGTCTGACAACATTGCTTGGCACCACCACTTTTGATAAGAGCTTTTAAGCCTTAGAACTTACCGATGTCCTGTTTGACAACATTGCTTAGCACCTTCTGAAGATTCCCCACCTTTGACCTTTTGCAAGATATATTTTGCAGTTTTGGTGCCTAGCAACCCTATTGAACTGCTGATGCTAATTACCCTGCTCAGCGTGCTAT